TACTATTTATAGAAGCGCCTGACTGGAATAGCTCTAAGTCTTTTGCAGTGGTTTTGGAGGGGTATTTTTAATAAACTCACTTTTGTAAAAGCTAGTAACCTGTTGATAACACTAAGAGCCTGGTTCTGCATTTTTGCACATTGAGAGTTGAAAACCCCACTATAGTCACTAGATGAGAAAAGAATGTGGGACCAGGCTCTACTGCAGTATTTGCTATTTATATTCTTTGAAGAATAAACATTTTTGTTGTACATATTTATTAAGTTAAATGGAAATTGTATGAGACTGAATTTTAGGAAGAGAACTGAAAAGCACGCTGTATATTTTCTAGTTAAACAAAAATGATCCCATATATTTTTCTGGCAAAATTTTGTAGCATGCTCTAAGAGTTATTAATTTCTTTACATTTTGTATTTAAAAAAGTATTAATGCTTAGTTTTATTTGTATAAGTTGTGGTGTCTTTTGGTAGGGATGTTTTAATTTATCCAATGATTTTAACTCAAATACGGTGAAAATATAGCGTAAGCGACCTGAATATTTAAATATTCTGTGAGGAAGTGAATGTACCATATTTAAGAAGCTGGATTTTTACATAGAATTCTATAATCTTATTTTATAAAACAATTAAATTTTTCAGTTTACTTTTGGACTGGAGTTTTACTCTTGACTCTGCGGTAGGAAGTCATAATCTCCGTGTGTATTCGCTGCTTGTCTTGGGCTCGGCTCTCTGCTACTCCCTGTCTGGTCTGGTAGTTAATGTGAGAGCCAAGTCAATATTGACCCGCACTGGATTTTCACGGTCACTATTCAGATGTAAAAGAAGGTAAAAAGTATTAAAGATTGCGGTGCAGAGGGCCCAGGCGATGTGATGCAACCGATTACAACTCCATAGACGGGCCCAGCATCCCTCTTGGCCCAGCGTCGTTCTTGGAGAGCTCGCAGCCTTTGCTCTGACCACAGCGTGTAATTTCATGGAGGAACGATGATGCACGGCCCCGATGGGCTTGGAAAGCCTCACATGTTGCCACTGTGTTTAAAGTGAAGGGAGCACAGAGAGGTCACATAAAAAAAATATAAAATTGCTTACCATTGAGCTCAGCTGCAAAATGAGGCACTTGCAAAGAGATGGGCCCCAAAAAAGGAAATGAGAGTGTATGAATGTTATCAGAAGCTCACATTATTTTAAAGACCAGTGATCATTCACAGTGCAAGCCAAAGGCTTCAGTGGCTGCACAGAGAGGCTGTGCTCTTGTTTTTTTCTTTAAATAGAGCTTGACTATTCAAGACACTCTTTTCCCTTGTGTAAAGGAAGGAGAAGCCATTGGCGTTTAGCCTTGTATGACAAATATTCCTCTGTTACAGATGAGAGGATCTTAAGCAGAGAATGAGGAGGAGGTTCCTGGTAGATATGATCGGTGCTCATCAGAAGTGCTCTCGTTACAGCGAGTACAAATGGGACACAGTGCTTTCAAATACTTGCGTTTCATATTTCACTGCATTCTCACATCGTCTTTTGTATCAAAAGGAATAAACCCCCTTTTATGTTTCCCATGCTATATATTAGCATCTCATTTATCAGTGTAGCTGCAAAATGGTGCTGAACGCACACGAAAAATTCCTCGCTTTGTGTTGATTCATTGGAAATAATTTACATACTTTTACAACAGAAACTGTTTTTACATATAATTAAAAGGCTTAAAAGATGATAGCAACAGAGTCACAGATCTGCAAAATAGAGACCAGATGTTTCCCTGACTCTGCCAGGTGTGGAGGTTTGGGGTGTTGTAGGTATTAAAATGAGAATAATCATCGTACTGGCAGGGAAATGAAGAGGATCCCACACACCCATTACAAACATTTCCATCCTAATCCTTTCTCATTAGCTCTGTTCAATACAACAATTTAGCAATTGCCGTATAGTTACAGTATCAAGTAGTAATACAGTTAAAAAAATGTATCAGTGGAACCACTTTAACGGAGCTATTGGCTAGAGAAAAGCACAGTCGCTTCTTAGCACCTGGTAGTGGTTTTAATTCACACTTTTATACTTTCATATTCCAACTAATTATATCTAACTGTCATTGTAAAGAGCACTAAATGTTTGTGGTCCTTCATGAATGACAATACTGAAGAAGGTGCTCAGAGCCATGGAGTACAGTTTATGCTATAGCTACCATATGAACATGCTGTACTTCACTACAGTAGAGAATAACCTTGACTGGATTTCCTGGGAAAACACAGCATTAAACTATTACCTGTGCCTTTTAAAACAGGATTTATTTATTTTTTTCCTAAAATTACACCCATTTCAAGAATTGTACCTGTTAAAGCTGACTCAGCTAACCAGGTGCCCAGGCTCAGGCAGACACTTCCCACCCCGTTTATCCCTGATTTATCAATTCGGCTGTGCTCAGCTGGAAAGAATCGAACACTTCACGTGCGAAGCAGGAGACACTTACACTGTATTGCCTTCCCCAAAGAGCCTCCGGCCCAAAATAGCCAAGACAAACAAAAGCAAGCCCCAGGATAATGAGGGAGAGGGTGAGGCAAACACAAAGTGGGAGGGTTGCTTGGAAAAAATGTGGGTTTGGGGGAGGTGGTTTGTTTTTCAGGGAAGGTTGCAGGAGGAAAGAGGAGCTGTGGGGTGGGCAGGAGGTGGGAGAGGGGTCCCCGTGTCTGTGGCACAGAGGAAACGCCGCTGTGGCGAGGGCGACGTGGGGGAAGAAGGGAGGGATGGGGGCTGTGGAGAGCCAGCCAGCGCTGGGCCTTGGGGTGACAGGCGGAGCAATGCTGAGCTCAGGGGACCCTGGCCTGGTACCAAGGCCTCCCTCCTGCCAGCCTGGCTGGCCACTGCACTCAGGGGACAGCAAATGTTTTGTCCTCCAGCGAGGCAGTCTCTTGGGAAAATACACAGCGTTTTGGAGTAGAAGGGAAATTAAAGAAGAAATTAGATATTAAGCTCTTTAATAATCTTCCTTTATGCTACACACATCACCAAGCATGGTTGGTTCTTGTGCCTGACTGTGATGCATGGGCGCTCTCTTAGTAAAATTACCAATCAATAGTACAGTCTGCTACAGACTGAATGTTTTAAAATAAAGCCTGGTGTTATACAGCTTTTAAAAAGTTCAGAGAGATGGATAATGAAGGTTCAAAGAAGTGGTTAGGAATGCACACGTCTGTAGCCAAACACCACACACACACACACATACACACACACACACACACACGCACGCACAAGCCCACACCCCATACACCATGAATACAACTTGTGCTGGGGTTCCAACAGGCAGTTGTGATGAATTCAATTAAACCAAACCCTGCATGGCCCTCAGACCCCATCCTGCCCATCCTGGTACAGGTCAACATTGCCACCTCCAAGGCAGAGGTATCTGGTTTCCTTGTGAATCACCTTCAAAGTGCCCAAATTTTCAGCCTAAAGAATTCAAAACTGTGGCTCAGAAATAGGCAAATATTTATAGGAAAAGAATCCGCAATTTCTGCAGACTATCAGAAACTATTAAACTTTGGACAAATGTCAAATATAGGAAATACCCACCCTCCAAAATATTTAGTTGTTGAAATATTGTGGAGAAGCAAAAAAATTGAACAAAAATAACTGAAAAACAGACAGTTGTACCTTTTTCTTCCTTCACCTTAATGAGATGGTAGAACCAATATTGGAAATAAGCTCAGTAGTGAGGATGGATAAAAATACCCACAAAGCCAAGGCTGCAGTCAATGTGTAAGTGTAAGACTATTCCCAGCGGAGTCGAAGGACAAATCTATGGGAAAGGGCTAGAAGAGTGGACTCAGAATTGCAATGAATTGAGGAATTCTATATTTATGTTAGAGCTCTTGAACTGAACAAAACTTGAGACAAAGTGAAGCAGGTGAACGCAGTGTGAACGCATTTTATTCCACCCATCATCATCCTCATGCCTTGTATTTATGGCAAGTTTGCGTAGGATTCCTCTGTTTGTCTTTTCGCATTTAAAAAAAGTTCTTTCATACTACCAGGTTATTTTTTTAAAATCATCCTGACCTTTAGTACCTAGGAGGTTCTTTAAAAGGAACCACATGATGAACGATTGTGGCTTTGGCAATATTTCTCACATGAAGAGGACAGGGCGTGGTTCAATAACTGTGAAGACTGAACTTTCTGGAGAATGTTTTTCTCCTTTTTTTTTCTTTATCTAAGAAGAAAAGTCTTCCTCCACTTTTAAATAAATAAATAAACTTTCTGGCAACGAGGACCTGTATCATTCTGGATGTGCAGAACTTTGTCAGCACAAGACCCAAGATTTCTGTCTATTGATAGTACGGATGGTGTGGTGTTGGGGTGGTGCTTCAGTTCTGCCTGTGGCACTTTGGATGAGTGAAATGATAGATCCTAAAGGATGACTGGTCCCTATGTAACACAATGGAAACCCAGTGTCAGGAAGGTTGAGGTGCCTAAATATCAGAAGGGTTGCAGGAACCTGTCCTGGCCAGAATGAGAGAAGATGAACACAGCCTCACATTTGCGGGAAGGGCGTCCACACTCCGGAGATGTGTCAATGCTTGAAGAAGGGTGTGTTTTTTGGATTACAGCAAAATAAGCCAAGAGTGACTGGCAGGCTGGTGAAGCAGCGGGAAACCGGGCTATTCCGGTCTCCGGTAGGTAGAGAAGAGCAGCTTGGTTTTATGCCACGTGGGTTGGGAGCCAGCACGGGCACACGAGGAATGGGCAGTGACCACTGTGGAGACATGTTTTGAAAGTCTGACATGCTGAAACCTCAAGAAGCCAGAGGAACGATGCAGGAAAACTACACTTTGTGCCTCAAAATCGGACTTTCTCTCTTGAAATAATCACCAAGTATTCAGAACACAAACCCCTCTTCTTT